ACTCCAAAGGGATCACAGATCTGAATAAATTATGAAACTTTATATGCACTAGAAGTATGCATGGATGAATTCCTCCTTATAACCTGGGTATAGGAGAAGACTTTCTAGGACTCAGAAATCCATATACAATAAAATAAAATGTTGATAAATGTGACTACCAAAAAATATACATAAGCAAAGTGAAAAGACAAATGTTAATCGTAAAATATCCACAACGTATATCACAGGCTAGTATCTCTAGTATGTTGTTTTTAATGAAGGGTGAAAATACCAAAAATGGGCAAAAGGCATAAGTCAGCAGTTCACAGAAAAAGATGGAAAAGCACTCTCTGAAATACATGAAAAGATGATCAACTTTCTTTGTAAGAGAAATGTAAATTAAAATTACACCAAAATGCCATTTCTCACCTATCAGGTTGTCAGGATTCAAAAGCTTGACAGACTCTATTCTGGAAGATGTGGGAAAAAGGCACTCCTGTGTGACAGTGCAAAATGGTGCAACCATTGGGAAGGGGTGCTTGACAATAACAAAGTTATATATGCATTTACCCATTCACCCAGCATTTCCACATCTAGGAATGTGCCCTGAAGATACACCTTTGACAATGCTACCATATATATGCACAGTCATTGCAGTATTACATTTTATGGCAAAATACTGTGAAATACCTAAATGGCCAGATATGGGAGATTGTTAAATGAACTTTGGTGTTATTATCTGTCAAACCACATGAGGCAGACCTCTGTGCACTAATAAAAAGTTATTTCTCTTATATAGGTGAAAAAAGCAAAGTGCGAAAGAGCATGTATAGCAGGCTACCTTTCTTTTTAGCAGTAAAGACGAAATAAGAAAGCATCCATTTATCTGCTTGCTTTTTTCAAGAAGAAACACAGGATAAACCAGAAAAGGAAATTGGTGACCCTATGAGGACGTTAAAATTGGAGGACTAAGTTAGAAGGGACAGGGTAGGGAGTGTATTGTTTTGACTTTCAAATCATGTTAATATTGTCTGTATTTACAAAGTAAAATTAAGTCAACAAGAATGAGAGAGGGAAATTCCTAAAACTAAGTGCAAACAGCAACAGATGTATTCAGATAAACTAACTGTGAAAGGGAGAAATTGAATAAAATTTCAAAATAATAAAATAACACTGAAGAGGGGGATGAATCCAAGTAGATTTTAAATGAATTTGAATCAATCCAAGTACTTTGTATACCAAAAAAAAAAAAAAAAAATTAAAGAAAATAAACCCAAAACTTAGTAGGTTTATTTTATAATTTCTGAAACTTTTTCAGTGTATTGTAGAATTAAGCACATTCATAAATACTTTCATGTTGGTAGCCAAGGTTCTCACTGTTGAAGTAAGGAGATACAGATAGGAAATAGAGAAAGGCAAATGAAAACCCTGTGGAGTTGGCTTACACTTGAATGTAACAGCATAACCCAATTTCTAACACACATGCACACACACACGGCTTAGAATCAGTGTGGCTCTAGTAGACATACAGAACACAGCCACATCCCAGATTTTGGTTTCTAAATACTATTCCTCACTAAAGGGAACCAGAGATTGCTAGACTGGTGGAAAGGGAAGGTAAGAGATAAGCCTGGAATGTCTTGTTCCAGAAATTAAGAAATATTCAAATAATTGGAACGTGTTACAAAGGCACAAGGACTAGCTTGAACAGGCATCCAATGGCCAAATCTAAGACAATATCACCATCAAAATAAAGACAGTTATAGATTATAGCTCATTGATTAAGAATCCATGAAGCCATGCTGATGACTATTATATATAGGTATATAAACACGAGATAGAAAAGCACGTCCTCATATTAGAATTCTGACTAATAATTAAGGAATAATGGATTTAAAATTCACCAGTTCACAACCATTATAGCAAAAATTTATTCAAGCAAAATGGATGCTAAATATAGGGAATAAAGCTTGATGAGGAACAGGATATTTACACAGTCTAGTGTCTCACTACTTATTAATTACAAAAGGAAAGACAGTAACTGTCTGCAGTGGAAGAAATGCACAATACCTTAACCAAGGGATCAGGATTAAACCTCAAACAGGCAGACACATCGTGTGCTTTTGTGTGTATGAACTGAGAAGGGAATAATACCACTTACCTCGTAGTCTAACCAAAAATCTGAGAGTTTAATCACGGTGAAGCATTGGAGGGACCCAAATTGAGAAACAGTCTGTAAAATAACTGCCTGTATTCAAAAATGTCAGTAGCATGAAAGCAGGAAGGAAAAAAGATGCTGAAGAACTATTCTAGATTACAGGAGACTAAAGAAATAATGACAACAAAGTACAATGTGTGATTCTACCTTAGGTCCTGTATCAGGAAGTTGCTACATAGGACATGGTTGAGACAGTTGACAGAGTTGGAATATGATTTTATATTAGATAAAATCAGCAATGTTAAATTTCCCAAGTTTGATAACAAATGTGTATATGTAAGTTAATGTTCCTTTTGGGAGTTACTCTGAAATGCTTTAGGAAAAAGGGATATGTATGTTACCTGCTCTCAGATAATTCAGAAGTGTATTTGTGTTCTGGGGCCGGGGAAGGGAGGAGAGAGAATGAGTAAGTTAATGTGACAAGATGTTAAAAATTGGTGAATCTGGGTAAAGGATATTTGAGTGTTCTTTGTACTCTTGCAGTTTTCTGTAAGTTTGAAATTATTTCAAAATAAGTTACATTTTTTAAAGTTCATAGAAGTTTTTATAACTTCCTCAAGCTGGAAACAACCCAAGCATTGGGTTGTTTTTCTTTTCCCCAACCCAAGTATTTATCAGCAGAAGACAAAATTGTATCATCAAATAAATTGTAGTTTATACACATAACAAGATGCTACACACACAACATTGGATGAATCTCACATTTTGAGGAACACGTATGCAGATTATCAACTTGGGGAGCAGAAATACATTGCCCTTTGCTGTGGCCATTGCAAAGGCTAGTTCTTCCTCCCTGACAACCCCCATCTGCAAGTAGTAGGAACAAGTAAGTCTCCAGTTCTAAAACTGTTAGGAAACAGAAACTGCTAAAACAGATGCTCCACTAAGTGTTAGGGTGGTGCAAAGTTACTGCAGTCTTTGCCATTAAATGCAAAAAGCACAATTATTTTTGCACCAACCTTAATGGACTCTGTGAGTGTGTTTTGGGAGGGAGGGGTCCTCTGAAGGATAGAGGACATGACAGATTGATTCTAGTTGCTGTATGGTGCTGCATTTGTGGGGAGGGGTTTAGGGGCCAATGTTTCCTCCTTTTACGGGTAAAAATCGTAATTGAGACCATAGCTAGATGCCTGTAAAAGGCAAGCTGGGAAATGGCAACTCAAGTCACAGCAGCTAAAAGAAAAGGGAACGTTTATCGTTGCAAAGGTAATTGAAAGGAATTGGACTGTTTGGGAATATAAATTTTTATTGGCATTGGGGATCCCTTATCAGGAATGTTTCTTCAACAAAACAAAAGCATTTTATAGTTCAGATGACTATTGAAAGGTAGAAGAAGAAATTATGCTTTTAATGGTTTGGTTTGGGAAGATTCCATCACTGTACTAAAAAGAAAATACATTTATTATATACTCAAAAGATTTGTTCCTAAAGGATCAAATAGGGAAATAACAAATCTGATGCTATGGGATTATGTAGGAGTATAAAATGTAGCACATGAGAAATTTTAATACTTTTTAAAATACCTATTTTTATCTAAAAAGCAATGTTCAGTTCATAAAAAAGTGATAATCCAAGTGTTAAGAGCACTTTTTACTGTAGAAATGATATAAATTATGCATAGATTCCCTGGAAAGCCCTCAAAAGTCTGCTAAATTCCTGTTGCCACCAAATATTGTTTCTTTGGGGAGATTCCTAACAACCAACAATAATCATAAGTTTTAAATCTCTCCTCTCATGCAGTTTATAAAATGGGTTGCTTTTCTCTTTGCAGCTGAGGCCACGGGAGCTGGAGGGATTGCAAAGGCCTTTGTTAGAGCATCCATCTGGTGACCCTGGTAGGGAAACTTAGGATCTAACCCTAGGATCTGGCTGGGCTCTGTAACTGACTGTTAGCCAGCCCTACCTTTCTAGGATAATTATATTTATAGTGGCTTTGCTTCAGGAGGTTTCTGGAGGTTGATGACCATGCCAATTATTAACTGCTTAGGTTCCTAATATAGAGCATTTAGGAGTGACAGGAGTTGTTTTCTTTGCTTCTCAACAGGTGCCTGCCTGTTGGGCCACCTTTGTACCTTGAGTTTTCAGTTGGCAAAATGTGAATTGTATGACCTATTTCTTTCTTGACCTCACAGGTGGTGGTAAGGATTCTTGAAAAGTGGGTAAGATCCTTAGAAAAAAGATGTTCATAAAGTGTGACTCCTAGGACAGGATTCAAGATAAATTCTGTCCCACAAAACGCCTCATATTTTGTATAATTATCTTCATGGCATTTGAGTTTTCTACAGTTCACTGATTTTACCTCTTCAGCTCTATTTACTATGCTGCTTTTTTTGTGTTAAAGTGAACTAGTGTGTCAGCTTAAAACACTTGTGGTGAATAATTCATATCATTCAATAAGCATTAACTCAAATGTGAAGTCTTACCAGCTGGGGCTGTGAAGTATAAGTGTCAATGGTGATAAACAATTATGCTTTGGTTTTTAGTGAATGAAAAAATTAAGAATGAGAGAACCTTAACATTTGTAACCTAAAAGATTGTATTTTGCCAACTTTCCTTGGGCAATTTGTGAATACTGCAAATCTCAGGCGTAGGTCATCAGTGATTCTAAAGGTATTGTATTTGTTCCTGCATTTGTTCTTGAGGGTAAAATAGCTTTTCATTTGAATGATGCTTTTGAGTTGGCAGCAGGGCATGGAACAGATAATTTGTTGTTGCTTACAGATTATGTTTTACTTTATTGTGATGTAATTATAGATCATCATTCTCATTTTTGTCCTTCTCTTTTTTCCCTTCCTTTTTCTAGTACTTCCTCCTGTGCTGGTTCCAAGACACAGCGAATATAATCCTCAGCACAGCCTCTTAGCTCAGTTCCGTAACTTAGGACAAAATGAGCCTCACATGCCACTCAACGCCACTTTTCCAGATTCTTTCCAGCAACCCAACAGCCACCCGTTTCCTCACTCTCCCAATAGCAGTTACCCAAACTCTCCTGGGAGCAGCAGCAGCACCTACCCTCACTCTCCCACCAGCTCAGACCCAGGAAGTCCTTTCCAGATGCCAGGTAGGTTGGAATGTTCAGTGATGTTCTGTGGTCACATCAGTGTTATCACAGTGTCATGGAAAAACTGGGTCAACCTGCAGTGGAGGGAGGTTTTCAGTCCCGGTATATGACATAGTGCTCTCGCACTTTTAGGATACAACTTTTGGAGAAAGGAGACGACGTAGCCAAGTAAGCAAATGTCTTATTTTATATTTGTCAGGCACAGATGCTTGAATAAGCTATATTTTTCCCTTGTTTTTTAAAAGGTTTTGAAACAGCTGCATCCTTCTGGGAGTGGCATAATTGTTACAGTCTTTACTCTTGATAAAAAGAAAAATAGTGTGTTACACACATTTGCTGTTATGAGAGCACAAGTTCAATTAGCATCGTTTTCATACATGGAAAAAATTCCTGTTGTAAGTGCAACCTCAGAAAAAGTATTTCCTGAGGGATGATCCCACCCCCTACTTAATTAAATTCATTTAAATGATGATGTAATCCCAAGAAATGTATACTTTAACAACAAAGGAATTACGACAGAAGTACTGGAAACCATCTGCTTGTTCAACTTAGCAAAGACAAAAAACAATTATCCTCTTTTTTTAGACATAACTGATGGTGTAATAGTTATCAAAATACATGATTAATAAGGACATTATATATTTTGAAGTTGCAGGTTAATGAGCAAGCATCTCCAAAAAAAAAAAAAAAAGAGTGGCAGATTTCTTGCCAGTAGACCTTAAGAAGGATACCCTAAACAAAAATATGCTTAATATCTATTAATGTTTTTGGAAGGGAAAAGGACTGGGCAAGTGTATTTATTGGGCTCCTTGAAATGTTTTTAAGTAAATTTGAATTCAGCATCAGTGCTGGGCCTTCAAAAATTGAAAAGTGGTCCACTTTATATTACTTCCTTTTATTTATGTATTTATTACTTTCTTTTATTTAAATCTTGTTTATTTCACATTGCTTTGTCTGGTTTTCACTCCAAAGCTGTTTGGGATGAGAGTTGGGAGATAGACTAGTTTAAAAATTAAAGTAACTGGTGACTTCCCGTCTACTTCACTCCCTTCCCCCTCACCACTAACCTGTATGATGGGCAGGTTAGTGGCGAAGAGATACATTTCAGAAGACTTTTGAGCAGTGACGGCAGCCCAGAGTGGCCACAAGATTGAATTAAAGGTTATTGCTTGAATTTACACTTTGTCCCTAGATGTCAGAGATTAAGGCACAGGCCAAGTAACAGAAATACGGAAAACAGTTGCAAGGGACGGGAGGAGGTGTTTGTAGGAATAGTAGAATAGTATCAAGAATTATCGGGTCCCTCTTGGTTGTGCTGATGCCACAGGTTGCCAATGAAATTTTCACCAGCTTCTTGGCAGAAATTCATTGACTTGAGCTCAGAGGAGGCTCTTTGTCTTTGTTCCTGGCTTGAGATAAAGCCGAGTCAGGCTTACAGCTGCAGGGAAGAGGCTGAATTAAAAGAAGCTGGAGAAAGGGCAAAAGAGGCATCCAGAGAAGATCCCAGTGGTCCTGTCTCAGTACTATGAGTCGTTGCTTGTTAGCAGCTGGATGTGAAGTTACTGGGTTATGATTCAGCTGGAGAGTGAGTCTTGGAAATCACTGGGGCTTTCTGAAGGAACAGCATGAGTTATGTGTATTTGACAGTTGCTCTGAGTGGTCTCAGTTACTTATCCAAGCATTCGCGATTCCCTCAGGTAAAATTTTGTCTCCAAGACTGTCACGTATGCTAGACGGGCTCATGATAGCTAGTGAGAAACTTGCTTTTGGATGGAAGAGGATTATTTGTGAGAAGCCTATACCCTTTGTTTTATATTAAGAAAATGCAAGACTTGTGTTAGTGTTCTTTGTTTAAATTAAAAAATCATGTTTGCCTCTTATTTACCAGAAGAAACATATATGTAAATTCTGAAATAGAAGATAGCTGTGACAAACTGATTCATTTTCTATTACTCTGTTGCTAGAGGTTTTAAAGCTAGTGATCATTTAAATGGGTAGGGAGAATGTGATCCTAACAGATTCCCTAAAGTCCTGGAAAATTAACAGTTCAAATCAGTAGGCTGTAATGAAACTCAGTTGGTAAATTTTCTAAAAGTCTAGAGATTTAATGCAAAAGACCCTGAAGCTCCTTTTCTTAAGAAGTCCATTGAAGCTTTCAGAGGTTTTCCATCTACCAGTGAAACTGAAATGCAGAGGTTCTCTCAAAGCAGATTATATTAAAGTATGCTTAAAATACTCTTCTGATTGCTTTTAAATAGCATGATCCTGGATAGGCAAACAGCTTCTAGAACTGGCATATAGTATAATACTTTTCCTCCCACTGAATTTTGACAAAAATGTGTATGATTGTGGCATGGTTAATACTTTTCAGAAATTGTACATCAAGGCCAGTGCCTGTAGCCGTTAGTCTTTTAATGGGGAGATTGAAATGGCAACTTGATCTCTTAAGAATTTCAGTACAGAAGAGGATATGTGTTTTGAGCGTGTATGTTTACTAAGGGTTAAGAAATAACTTCTTTAAAAACTTCGTAGCTGATACGCCCCCACCTGCTTACCTGCCTCCTGAAGACCCCATGACCCAGGATGGCTCCCAGCCGATGGACACAAACATGATGGCGCCTCCCCTGCCCTCAGAAATCAACAGAGGAGGTAAAACTAATTGCTACCTGTTCCCTTTCTTAGAGTCTAAAGTTTGTCCAGATGTTACTTTCTCTCACAAATTGTTGTTAGTCTTTAAAAAGAGAGCTATTTGAGAAAAATAGAGCCCAATGATAAGAGAAGCTCAGTAGAATTCCTGGATAACAAGTAAGTCTTTCATTTAAAGAACAAAAATATACTGACTTAACTAATGAAGACCTGAGAATAATTTTGCAATTATCTGTTTAGATCTTTAATACTTAATCATTTTTAACTGATGATGAATTTTTTTTTTTTTTTTTTTTTTTGAGATGGAGTTTTGTTCAGGTCGCTCAGGCTGGAGTGTAATGGCGCAATCTTGGCTCACTGCAACCTCCACCTCTGGGTTCAAGTGATTCTCCTGCCTCAGCCTCCTGAGTTGCTGGGATTACAGGTGCACACCACCACACCTAGCTAATTTTTGTATTTTTAGTAGAGATGGGGTTTCACCATGTTGGCCAGGCTGGTCATGAACTCTTGACCTCAGGTGATCCGCCCACCTTGGCCTCCCAAAGTGATGTGATTATAGGCGTGAGCCACCACACCTAGCCAATATTTTTAAATGAACAAAATGGTATTTAGAAACCATAAGTATAACAGAACTAAAGTAGAGTTTTCACTGGTGATTTCCAAAGTTGGAAGTTGGTATAACTGGGCTGTCCAAAGGCCTTCTTCTGTAATTAGGATAGATACTCATAAACCCCATCTATTTTTCAGCCCTTTTATGTCTGTAACTACAACTGGAACAAACTAATAGAATTTCTTTCTTGCTGTTTGTTTCTAACTTTGTTACTGAAAGAAATTGAGGCACAAGTTTTTCCCCTTTTCAGCCTGAAGAACTTGCAGGCAGAAATGAAAATTTCTTCCCCCTCTAGTAACAGGCGGGTCTTTGATTCCAGCACTGTATTGTCCTTAGCAGTGACAGGGTGGAGGACACCGTCACTCTTCCAGCCCTGCATAGGCAAGTGGCATAGACTTAAGTGAGCAGAGAACTCAGGTAAATGAGTTTGGTAGACTCTCTGAGAAGGTGTTAGAATCCACAGCCACACTAGCAAATAAAACTGTTCCTAAGTAACGTCTCATGAAGGAAAGTGCTTCGCTGCTGCACTCAACACATGGCATGGGTCATGCAGTTTATATAATGTTTATGCAAATTGAAGTTAAAGTGCAGTTTGGTTACTAGGTATGTCTTACTTCATTCTTAGTGCTTTTTTATTAAAATAGGAGATACTTATTAAAATAGGAGTTGCTTATATTTTTAAGTACTTAAAATTGATTTTGTCTCTATGATACATTATACAGTGGTAACTGCCTGTCATTATACATTTATCCAAACCCATAGGATGTACACCATTGTGAGTGAACCCTGATGTAAACTGTAGACTTCGGGTGTAGGTCTGTAGCATGAATGTTGGTTCATCAGTTACAACAAATGTGCCACTCTGGTGGGGGATGTTAATAATGGGGGAGGCTAGGAAGGTGTGGGGGTGGGGGACATATGGAAAATCACTCTATCATATACTCAATTTTGCTGTGAATGTAAAACTGCTCTAAACATCGATTTAAAAATTGGTGATGAAGGCTGGGTGTGGTGGCTCACGCCTGTAATCCCTAGCACTTTGGGAGGCTGAGGCAGGTGGATCACCTGAGGTCAGGAGTTTGAGACCAGCCTGGCGAACATGGTGAAACCCTATCTCTACTACAGATACAAAAATTAGCTGGGTGTGGTGGCGGGTGCCTGTTGTCCTAGCTACTTGGGAGGCTGAGGCAGGAGAATCACTTGAACCCAGGAGGCAGAGGTTGCAGTGAGCCGAGATCACACCGTTACACTCCAGCCTGGGCAACAAGAGTAAAACTCAGTCCCCCCAACCCAAAAAAAAAAAAAAAACATTGGTGATGAACTCAAAGGACCTTTCTTGGATATACAGTGTCATCAATTGGAATGTACACCGTTTTAATCAATATGATTTTTAAATCTTTTTTATTACCTCTGTGTTTTATGGTTCCTGATTATCTCTTAAACATCTTATCAAACATAATTCTTTGTCAGTGAACACTCTGGTTGGGGGAAATAACCCTTATTTCACACATCTGTGGAATTTATATTTGGAGACCAGGATACTAGGGGAGAATAGGCACAGTACCACACTATTAGGAGCATGTGGACCCAGTAACTATTATTGCTAAACCCAAAATGTCTGATTTCAGGAAACAGATCTTTAAATTGCTTTAAGATTTTTTTCATTTAAATAGCTTTAAATATTTTTTTTCTTTATAGTTTATAGTCAGTATTTTCACGAGGAAGGAATATTGGCCATTTTTTTTCTTCCCTGCCTTTTTTTTTTTTTTTTTTTTTTTTACTTCTTTTTAACCTTTGGTGATCTTCCTAGAGCAGGGATCAACAAACTACAGCCCACAGGCCAGTTCGGCCTGCTATCTGTTTTTGTGAATAAAGCGTTATCGGGCCACAGCTGTATTCATTCATTACATATTGTCTATGACTGCTTCTGTGTTACAAGGGGAGAACTGGATAGTTGTGATAAAGATTATACAGCCCACAAAATCTTTCTGGCCTTTCACAGAAAAAATGTATCAACCTCTGACCTAGATGAATAGTATTTTGAAGTATCCTGATAGCTGATAAAAGCCTTCTGTTAATAATGTTGCAGTCTGCTTTAAGATTTGGCACTTTTAAATCACTAAAGTTTTGCTCTTTGGATTATGGCAAATTGACGTGGTAGAGTTGCTTAGCAAGCAGGGAAGATAGTGTATGTTTTTAGCTAACTACTTACATATATAAAGCAGCTAACTTACGTGTGGGTTTTTTAATGAGTATTTTCCTTGGTTTTTTTTTTTTTTCTTGTGTGTGTGTGGTGTGTGTTGTTGTTTTTGTTTTGTTTTGTTTTTTACCAATTTCTAAAAGTCCATTTTAGTATTTGTGGAATTTGATGTTAAGAACACAGAGGTGTTTCTCCCGTAGCAGTTATAGTCTGGGCTTCTGATGTGGACTTTCTTTCTTTTCTTTCTCTTATTATTGTACACCCAAGACTTCAAAACCTCAGATCATTATATTATTGGTATGCTGGAAATATATGGTTTGTATTCCTGGAATCTCTAAAGCAGTGGTACTAGAGGTTTTACTACAGAAGGAATTCATCTTTAAAGCCTTTTAGTTGCAAATGTTTAGAACCATGTTCTGTTTGGAGATTTGTTAGTCTTAAGAGATTTGACTTAACAAGCTGCATCCTGTCAGTAAAGTTGGGTAATTTCCATTGTTGGCCCATTCTGGGAATGGAGAGACAAAACACACCTGCTCTGCATGACTTAAAGCAAATATAAGGAAGTTAGCATGAAATCTGGATGAGAAAGATATGATTCATTCTGTAAGAATGGCCAGCTGGCAAGATTTCTTCCTGAGTTTGAGAACTGGAGCAACACTGTAGCTGTGATAGTTATTGGCAACTTAATATGAGGTAAAGTAACTTTTTATCAATAATTAGAAACTGATTTTCATTGCTTTGAATAAGCATAGGCATACTTAGCCTTGCCAAAAGTAATTCATTTTTATGCCAATACCTTTGGCATATTTCCTATCTTCTATTGTTCTCTTCCCACTTATTTTTTCACTTGTCACTTGTTGTGTTTCTTTAGATGGTGAGCCAAAGTCTGTGGTAGGGGCGATTTCCATTTCTGCATATTATAAAGCAATTAGCATATTGTTAATATTCAACAAAAGTTTTTGCTGTGCTTCCTTAGCTGGTGTTTTGGTTATCTGATAGTAACTGGAGAAAATGGTTTTCCAATTTTCTCCAATTAGAGTAAGGAGAATGTCATATTTAGTTAAGAAGTACCTGCTTTAAACATCATAGAAAAACTGTATACATTATAATAGCAATTGCTTTTCCAATGTCTTCATTCCATGATCCTAAGCCAATTCAACCACACGGTTTCAGTTTTTGAGAGCCTGAGGCACTAACCTTGGTTGATATAATGTTTTCTTTCCTATAGATGTTCAGGCAGTTGCTTATGAGGAACCAAAACACTGGTGCTCTATTGTCTACTATGAGCTCAACAATCGTGTGGGTGAAGCTTTCCATGCCTCCTCCACAAGTGTATTGGTGGATGGTTTCACTGATCCTTCCAACAATAAGAACCGTTTCTGCCTTGGGCTGCTCTCCAATGTTAACCGGAATTCCACTATTGAAAACACCAGGCGGCATATTGGAAAAGGTGAGTTTTTGCTTTAACCTCTTTCGGATGTTTATCTGTTGTGTCCCTGTTCCTCCAGAGCTGACTTAAAATCATTCCTGTAACAAACTAGTGTAGCAAAGACCAGGTAATGTTCACTTGCTGCAGTTTGTAAATATTTTTCCAGTTTCTGCTATCTGGAAGCTCTTGCAGTCAGTGATTTTTGTGGTCGATCAACTCTCATAATATTGAAATTAATTACTTGAAATTATGATTTGCCATTTTAAGACACTATTCTGTATGATATTTTGCTACAGAATAAATTGGCTGTTAAAAAATGAATTACAACCTAAAATTAAAAGCAAATTAAATTAGTTGCTTAATTGTATTTCAGATGAATACCATAACTCAGTAAATAGAAAAGAAAGAACTAGATTCTAGCACAAACATCGTGCAAGGTGGCACAATAGAACCCTGCAGTGAATGTACCTTCACAGGGACACCAAATTGAACAACTGTCCATATAAGAAACTGTCCATATAAGAACAACTGTCCATATCCTCAGCCTAGGCTGAGTGGAATAGATAGAGTAGGGGTAGGATTTCAGATAAATCCCAAATTCTTTTTAGTAAACTTGATTATTTCATAGCAGTATGAGTGAAACCATTCTGAAACTTTCATATGTAAAGATGAAGCAAATGACTAAATGTGTGGATATTGTTGGGAGCCTGGGTTTCCACTGTGGAAGACAGACATATAAATGCAGAGGGGAGCAAAAACTAAACCCTATGAAGGAGAATAGAGATATCAGTGCAAAATTCTGATTTTAATAATACTTATGTGTGTGTGTGTATGTATGTTTATGTTCTCATGTATTACATATGTGCATGTGTATGCGTATGTATATGCGTTTTTACGTGCGTATGGTTTCTGATCTGCCTGCTGAAAGGGCCCAGAAGCTTCCATACCCAGTAGCAATAAGCATGTCTAGTGTTCAGATCATCATCACTAATACTATGTCCCACTGAAAGGAGCTAGGGCTCCTTGAAGAAATGGCTGACCCCTAGGCTGGGATAGGTAGACACAGGAGGACCCTAGAGCATCTTGTTATGGCAGAAAGTAAAGAAATGCTGATGGAAATCATGGGGCATGCCTCAGGAGCCAACTCTCAGACAATTTGAGCCCCAAAATAATTACAGTGATGAATTTTACTTCGTTTTATTTATTTATATTTTTTTGAAATGGAGTCTCCCCCTGTCACCCAGGCTGGAGTCTAGTGGTGTGATCTTGGCTCACTGCAACCTCCACCTCCCAGGTTCGAGTGATTCTTGTGTCTCAGCCTCCTCAGTAACTGGGAGATTACAGGTGTGCACCACCATGCTCGGCTAATTTTTGTATATTTAGTAGAGTCGTTGAGTTTTACCTTATTGGCTAGGCTGGTCTCGAACTCCTAACCTCAAATGATCAGCCTGCCTTGGCCTCCCAAAGTTCTGGAATTACAGGTTGTGAGCCACTGTGCCTGGCCTCAGTATGGCATTGAATTTTACACCATTGAAAAACAATATGAATTTGTAAGTCCATACTCATAATAAATAGATAAATAAGTGAATGGGGAAGGCTGGTTGATAAATACAGAGTGAGTGCTAAAGTTCGAATATCATCATTTTGCAACCATCATAGTAATGATCAGGCAAGAATCATCAATGGATGCTAAATATAAAGAAAATGTGTATGAGAATCAGTATATTTGCATGGTCTTAAGAGTGTTTACCCTCAAACTGCCTTTTAGTATGAGGGAGAATAAAAAGCATTAACTAAACAGTGGAGAAACTGTATCATTTGTATTTTAATTGTAATTGTATAATTGATGGATGCCCAGTTTTGACTGGGAGATCAAAATTATCATCACCAATGAGAGACAGATGGGTATCATATACCTCCAGATGTCATACCCTGAGAAGGCCATAACATCACCTACGCAGGATTCCAGCTGAGAATGCAAATCCTAATCTAATCCTGAGGAAATATCAGACAGACTCAAAACATTCTATTAAAAAGGGTGAAGAAGGGGGACTAATTTTTCCAAGATATCAGTGTCAAAAGACAAAGGTATGGAAATGTTCCAGATTAAAAGTAGTTAAAGAGATATGACACCTGCATGCAGTATCTAGCCCTGGATATGATCCTGTACTGAACCGGAGAAAAATATTAATGTTGTAAAGGACATTGTTGAGGTCAGCAGGCAAAACCGAAATATGAATGGTGGATTAGACCAATGTTAAATGTATTAGCATTGCCAACTACACTATGGCTATATAAGAGACTATCCTTATTCTTAGGAAATACTTAAGTAAGGAAGTGGTTCAGGAATAAATTAGTATATAAAGATACCTGTCTACTCACCATCTATCTACCTAAAACCTGTGTTACAATACATACAGACAGACAGACACACACACACATGCATGGTGCGTGTGCAGCAGCAGTGGGGAGAGAGGGCCCAAGCGATCAAGCAAATGGAGTAAATTGTCACAATAGATGCATCTGGATAATGGTTATACGGGTATTCTTTGTTCTGTTTTTCTGTGTTCCCTTTCAAACTTTTCTACAAATCTGAAATTATTTCCGGGGTAAAAGTATGAAACAGTAACCTGTGAAATTTAGAACAGTGGACCAGATTAAAAGGTTATTTATTAGATGCTTTAAAAGCACTCAAGATAAAGTGTAACATTTAATCCTCACGGGAAGAAAACTCCAACTCTTAAATTAGGAATTGGTAGAAACTTTCTTATATAACTAAAGGAAAAAACTCTGACTATAAATTTAATAATGAAATGCTAGAACCTAGGTTCATAACATACATAGATATCTCTCTATGGTCTGTAAACCTCTGAAATTGTATATAAACAACATTTTGCATACATTTGGGAGGAAAGGACATACTTTTCATTAAATTCTAAAGATGACTCTTATCCCAAAGTAGCAAAAAAAAAAAAAAATTGTACTATGGGACATTTCCTCCTAAAACATTATTAAGAAAATAAGGATTCTTGGAATGCTGTTATTTAAAATTGTTCCAGATGCCCTGAATAGTGTACTCAAATATACAATTATAGATAATGGAAATAAGGCCAGATTATTATGTGTAGATGATATGTGTGATTGACAATATTCTCAGGATAGATTCTTGAAGTGAAATTAGTAGATCAAAATCTATTGATATATTTCACCCAATTACTTTCCAAAAAGAAATTCCAGCACTTTGGGAGGCTAAGGCAGGTGGATCAGTTGAGGTCAGGAGTTCGAGACCAGCCTGGACAACATGGTGAAACCAGGTCTCTACTAAAAATACAGAAATTAGCCAGATGTGGTGGCACATGCCTCTAATCCCAGCTACTCGGGAGGCAGAGGAAAAGTTATCACTTGAATTTGGGAGGCAGAGGTTGCCGTGAGCTGAGATCAAGTCACTGCTCTCTAGCCTGGGTGACAGAGGGAGACTGTCTCAAAATAAATAAATTAATTAAAATAAAATAAATACATACATACATACATACATAAAAGGAATTTGCATTCCTACCAGAAATATATGAGTGCCTTTCTCCCTTCATCCATGCCAGTATTATGGTTGGGCATTGTGCCTATTCAAATGATATGATTATTATCTAGAAACCTCCAAAGAATCTATCTTTTAAAAATTATGTAAGTCAGTTTCCTTTAATCTGGTAATAACCAGTTAGAAAATATAATGAAAGGGGAAATCCCCTTCCCAATAGCCACAGAAAACATCAGTTTCTTCGAAATAATCTGAACCTGCAATATGTGAGAATTACATGAAGAAACCAAATTTAACTGAGAGAAGGAAAATTTGAATAAATAGGCAGTCCGTGTTCCTTAAAGGGAAGGCTTAATATTGTGAGAACATTTTAAGCGTATTAATTCCATCTAATTTAACTTATAGGTTAAAGCAACTCTTTTCAGAATCACAGTGTGATTTTTTTGAAAATTGGAAAATGTATTCTGAATATTACCTGGAAGAATAAGCAAGTAAGGCTAGCTAACTTTGTAAATGGAAAAATAAAGAAAAAAATTATTGGCATTAGGGTTAATAAAACATTGTAAAACTATAAGTAAACCAATGTGTAGACAAAACAGTAGAATGAGTTAAACTCAGACTATTCTGTACATAAAAATATAATGTATGTTAAGTGAAGCATAGCAAATCAGTAGAGTCTTCTAATGGTTCTACAAAACCAAGTTAACTTTTGGGTGAGGCTGGAAAAGAGAAACCCTGACCTCATACTATATATGCAAACAGATTAATGAGTTGAATGTTTTTCAAAAGGCAAACAATTAAAAAGCTAGAAGAAAATATGCTTGATCAGAGAAGTAGAAATTTTCTAAGCATAAAAAGCAACAAAGGATTGTTAAAGGTTTGACTAAGAGATTGCATACTTCTGTAGGCTAAAAATATGTCACAAATAAAAGACAAACGACTAACAGGGAAACAAATAAGAAAGTATTTATATCCTTCTTACATGAACAGTTCATAAAAAAAAAAAATTAAAAATAGGACCCCAGTGAGATAAATAGGTAAGAAATATGAACAGTGAATTCACAAGAGAAACACAGATGGCTGATAAACTTTGAGAACATATCCAGCCTCACAGGCAAATTAAACAATTATTTGTCAACTATAAATTAGGGAAATTTTATTTTTGCTCTACACGCAGATTCAGTACTGGCACGGGTGAAATGAGAAAAGCATTCCTACACTGCTGGTGACAGTGTAAATTGATGCATTCTGGAAAGTCATTTGGCAGAGTTAATCAGCAGCCTTCGATCCAATAATTTAACTTCCAGGAATCTCTCCTAAGGATATTATCAAAAATTGTCCAGAGACATTTATCATGGCATTACTATAAAAGCAGAAAATTGCTATCAGCCCAGTGGTCCACTAATGGGAAAATCATTTTAAAAACACTCATACAATCATACAGATATTTTAAATGTTTGCAAAGACATTTTAATGATAGCCAAAACCAAATACAGTGTATCAAACTATTAATAATTATTGCCTCTGAGTCGCTAAAAGAGTGATAATATTTTCTACCTCTTTATATTTTGATTTACTTTCTGATTTTTCAGGATGAAAATTTGTCATTTTTATCAGGAAAAATTAGTAGCACACACACTCTTAAATTGTTTTATCTACATCAGGCCAAACAAATGGGCTTCTGCTCCAGCAGCTATTTAATTGTTACAGAAATCCTAACTGTTGTGTATACATATAAACACAACATGTAACATTTTCTATGAGACACAGTATAGCCTTGACTAAGCCATACCAGAGTTACCTACAAGGTGGATCATTTAAACCCACATAGGATCTAACGCTGCTGGGGGACCTATATAAAGTCATCTCCCACAGTGGTGTGGGGCTTTGTGAGAATGAGTTTTTTACCCCTACTTTCCTTTTTTTAAAGGCAGGGTAAGACCAATTTGCTACACTTTAAGCAGTCTGGGTCTCAAAGGAAGAAGTTCGGAGCAGGTGATAGTTTAGTGAGATCTAATTTTACATACACCGTATGACTTTTCTAGTTTCATTTTCATGGTTTTTTTACTGGATCTTATATCTTACAGCTCTTGGCAATACTTCTTCCACCTGTGACTTTACAGTTCCTCTCTTCTCTTTCTCCTCTCTTCCCTTTCTAAAATTTTCCAAACATCTTAGCTGTACAATAAATGCAAGAGTGCTTTATGGTAAATACATAGCATCCAGGTTTTATTATGTTGTATTTTTAGAGTGAAAATATACTTTCCATGTCTGGCCAAGTAGGACATTAATTACTTACCAAAATGAAATCGCTTCATTTTGTTGTTGTTGTTGTTGTTGTTTGAGACAAGGTCTCACTCTGTCACCCAATCTGGAGTGCAGTGGCTTGATCACAGCTCACTGCAGCCTTGACCTCCTTGCCTCAGGCAATCCTGCCACCTCAGCCTCTGTGTAATTGGGACTACAGGCATGCAACACTGTGTCTAGCTGATGTTTTTTCTTTTTTTTCTTTTTTTTTTTTGGTGGAGATGGGGTTTCGCCGTGCTGCCCAGGCTAGTCTTGAACTCCTGGACTCAAGCAATCTGTCCACCTTGGCTTCCCAAAGTGCCGAGATTACAGGTCTGAACCACTGTGCCTGGCCTATTAGTATTTTTTTAAACATTTTGTTATTTTTCTAGAAACCTCCTAGATACTGTGTTAACTAATACAGTTAACTAAGATTTTATCAATCATACATCAGCCATCCCCAATCTTTTTGCACCAGGGACCGATTTCATGGAAGACAATTTTTCCACAGGGGATGGGGAAGGGATAGTTTCAGGATGAAACTGTTCCGCTCAGATCATCAGGCATTAGATTCTCATAAGGAGCACGCAACCTAGATCCCTCACATGCACAGTTCACAATAGGGTTCATGCTTCTATGAGCATCTAATGCTGCCACTGATCTGACAGGAGGTGGAGCTCGGGCTGTAATGCTTGCTCACTCACCTCCTGCTGTGTAACAGGCCACGGACTGATACGGGTCCATGGCCTCGGGGGTTGGGGACCCCTGTTGTACAGGACTTAGAGAATAGCTATCTAACTAGCCAAAGTTTAAATCCATGTAAATTTAAGTTTCTGTGTTGAAGCTGCACAGGTGCCTTTGAGCTATAAAAATTAATAATAACTAAATTATATGCTTTGTCTTCCAATAGGAGTTCATCTTTATTATGTTGGAGGGGAGGTATATGCCGAATGCCTTAGTGACAGTAGCATCTTTGTGCAAAGTCGGAACTGCAACTACCATCATGGATTTCATCCTACTACTGTTTGCAAGATCCCTAGTGGGTGTAGTCTGAAAATTTTTAACAACCAAGAATTTGCTCAGTTATTGGCACAGTCTGTGAACCATGGATTTGAGACAGTCTATGAGCTTACAAAAATGTGTACTATACGTATGAGCTTTGTGAAGGTAAGTGAACTCTGACTCCTCCATTTAGGGTCTTACATACTTTTGCTGTGCTTTTTTTTTTTTGGCAATATGTGAATCTATATCTTCTTGATAATATGTTCATATTAGCTGACTTATTATCTAGGCATTTTTAAACTGTAACAAGAGTGTCAATTATTAGGAAAATATCATAGGAACATAGGAGTACTTGTATTAAATATCAATAGCTGTGGGTTTTAATAGCCTTTTCCTTATTCAGATAGCACCGCTTTAGCTATTGTATTACCAGTAGAATATGTTATGTTACATATTTAAAATATAATTTAAATACATGGTTGTTTTACAAGATCAGTTGAGTAAACATATCTTCCTTACTTTTCGTTCTTTCTTTTTAGTACTTTTATGATGGTAATGCTTGTTTTTGTTTCAAGAGTAAGGAAGTGATCTTTTTGTAAAAATTAAAGTTCATCACATTGGAAATTGTGTTTGGTCAGGTTTTTTTAGTGGTTTCAGTAAGCCTCATGATTTTCTTAACAATTCAAAAGTTAATAAGGCCTTTGCCCAAGATAAATAGATGCCTTAGCTCAAAGATTGCATTGTAAGGTTTGATGAGGGAGAAGGTTAAACACATTGCTCATAATAATTGATCTTTTTGCTGTCTCATCTTCTGCCTCTGAGAAATAAAAATTTTTAGGATGCCATTGAAATCTAAAAAACCTTAAATGTCTGATTAGATTTCATGAGTCAGTGACTTATTCTAGTAACTGACCTGTCTCTGAATTCTCAAAAATAAGTTTCATCCTCTTGTACTTTGAGAAACAGAACTAATTATATATTTGAGTGAGGCAATTACCTTTTATGTCTTCTGTTCAGAAGCTCACCAAACTTCTTGTTAAACCTGTTTTGTAATGTATTTATTACTGAGGATAATTTTGGAGCCTTACTTGTTAATCATCCCTTAGATCAAAGATACCTTTTCCTGAATATAATTACTTTTCCTACTTATTTAAAGCACCTTAGATTTTCAGTGTGTTCCCTTAGTGTTTGTTTTTGTTTGTTTGCTTGCTTGCTTCCTTTTTGCAGTGTACTTCAACAGTTATTTGTAGCAGAGTCTGGTACCTTGTTAGTATTAAGAAAATTTTTTTACCCTTTGAAGAGGTTGACCTATATGCTATGTACATATGGGGCTACAAAGACCTATCTTATTCATTATTAACATGTGCTGTTTAATTTTTGACTTAGCATTTGGCTCAAATAGTTTTTAAAATTAGAACAGTGACCTGCCAGAAGTGTTTTCGTTTATTGTTTTTATTGGTATGGAGGAAAGAACAACTCTTGAGAGTCGAGGTGCAGTTTCCAGTTTTTTTCTGCCATTTTAACTGTGTGATTAAGGCAGATTTCTTCTCTGGTTCTCATGTTTATTATCTTTGAAATGGGGGTGAATGGAGTTGAGAACTGTGGTAATTATTATTAAGGTCCCTTAGTGAGTCTATTATTGAAGGACCACTCTAGGAGAATTTATGACTTTAATGTTCCAATTAGCTTCCTGCTCAAACTCATTTCTTATTGTTTATCCAATCAATGTTCATTATTTTACTTTTGTACAGTTTTAATAATTTACTTTTACACAAGTAAAAACAACTTTTACACTAATAAAAGTATTTATAATGCAAAGTTATGCATTCAAAATTTATTAGATTTTATTCGTTCAGCAGATATTTTAGCACTATTTCAGAGAAGTAATACAAAGATGAAAAAGCACCTAAAGTCTCTATTATCAAGATCCTTATGCTCTAGTATATCTTTAATTATAATCTGATAAGCACTAGAATGGAGAATTATACAAGATATAATGAACTTAGCCTGGAAGTTGGATTTAGAGAGCCGAAGGTAAATAATATTTAAAAATCCTGCTGAATGTTAAGGAGAAACTGTTTATCATATATTAGCAACAAAAAATGTGCACACTGTTTTTACAGAACTGTTCTTTATTATATGGACTGCACACTTTATCCTCTCCCACTCAACATTTTAAAGAAATTATAACGGAACATTTTACTAACAGTAGCCAATCTTGAGCTGTTTTCAAAATGATCATTTTTGGATGTTAACATAAAACATATTTTATAAATTATTTGTACTTTAAACTCTATGTCTGAAAAGTCCAAGTCAGCTCAGCTGAACACATATTTATAGAGCTTCTGCCTTCTGTCGTTATGCTATATATCGGAGGTAAAGATAAATTCCTGCCTTCAAAGATGTTGATATCTGATGGAGGAAACCTGCACATAAGCCTGTAAATTAAATTTAGGAGTTTGTTTATATTTACAAACGCATGAGTGTACGTACATCTATGTAGATACATATATCTATATAGATGTAGTTTATACAAGTTTTGATGTTCGGATACATTTCCTTTTCTTTCTTTCTTTCTTTTTTTTTTTTTTTTACAGAGTCTCACTCTTCGCCCAGGCTGGAGTGCAATGGTGTGATCTCGGCTCACTACAACCTCCGCCTCCCAGGTTCAAGCAATTCTCCTGCCTCAGGCTCCCGAGTAACTGGGATTACAGGCGTGTGCCACAGCACCGGGCTAATTTCTGTATTTTTAGTAGAGTCAGAGTTTCGCCATGTTGGCCAGGCTGGTCTCAAACTCCTGACCTCAAGTGATCCACCTGCCTGAGACAGAGTCTTGCTCTGTCACCCAGGCCGGAGTGCAGTGGTGTGATCTTGACTCATGGTAACCTCCGCCTCCTGGATTCAAGTGATTCTCATGCCTAAGCTTCCCAAGTAGCGGGGATTACAGGGATACACCACCACATCTGGCTACTTTTTATATTTTTAGTAGAGATGGGGTTTCACCATGTTGGCCAGGCTGGTCTGGAGCTCCCGACCTCAGGTGATCTGCAGCTCCCGACCTCAGGTGATCTGCCCGTCTCGGACTCCCAAAGTGCTGGGATTACAGGTGTGAGCCACTGCACCTGGCCCCAGATCTATTTCTTAAAACCACTGGAGTAGATAGGTAGCAGAAATAAATAGAACCCAACCTTCTCTGATACTCCTCATGAAACAGTGACTAAAGGATTAATCATTGTCCATCCCCACCAGTGAGTTTTTGATCTTTGCAGTAGCAGTTACTTTTCTCTTTTTCATAGTGACTTTATTCTGTGGAACTCTACTGTCTTAATGCAGTAGTTCTGACAAGCTACCTTCTTGTACAAATGAATGATAGAATGTATTGATTCATGGCAATGGCTAGGTGTCAATAATAGCTTTTTGGATACTTAAATGTACTCCTGCCCGTTTTGCTTAGAGATTGAAAGGTCAAGAGCTGTGTGTTGATAGGAGGCTGATTCAGTGGCCGAATAAGGAAGAAATTGAATGTCAGTCTGTCTAGCATAGCTTTTTTGTTTTATTTTCTTGATAAAATGAGAATTTAATAATAGCTATTACATTACTATCAGAAATGGGCAATTAAAATAAAAGTTTTACAGTGCCTTTATTAAGACAACTTTATAATGTATTTTAAAATCTTCATTCCTCAAGACTGGTAATTCTTATTGGAATCCATGGATGGACCCTGGGGAGCTAACATCCATCCTTTGAAATTGCCTGCCAAATTATATGTGTGTTTGTATATGTGTGTTTTTTTCTCCCCGGCGGCGGGGGGCAGGGAGGAAAGATGCATAGCTTTAATCAGAGTCTTGGTTATGTGAACCCTTCTTACTTAATAAGTTTAACCACTGAGTTAAAACAAGTTAAATGACCTCCAGTATGTTTTTCCTAGGGCTGGGGAGCAGAATACCACCGCCAGGATGTTACTAGCACCCCCTGCTGGATTGAGATACATCTGCACGGCCCCCTCCAGTGGCTGGATAAAGTTCTTACTCAAATGGGTTCACCTCATAATCCTATTTCATCTGTGTCTTAAATGGCCCCAGGCATCTGCCTCTTGAAAACTATTGAGCCTTGCATGTACTTGAAGGATGGATGAGTCAGACACGATTGAGAACTGACAAAGGAGCCTTGATAATACTTGACCTCTGTGACCAACTGTTGGATTCAGAAATTTAAACAACAAAACAAAACAAAAAAAACCACCTTGGTAACATACTGTTGATATCAAGAACCTGTTTAGTTTACATCGTAACATTCTGTTGTAAAATCAAACTAAAATGCAGACTTTTAGCAGGACTTTGTGTATAGTTAAAGGAGAAATGGCCAAGCCAGGGACAAATTGTCTATTAGAAAATGGTCCTAAGAGATTCTTTGGTGTTTGGCACTTTAAGGTCATCGTTGGGCAGAAGTTTAGCATTAATAGTTGTTCTGAAACGTGTTTTATCAGGTTTAGAGCCCATGTTGAGTCTTCTTTTCATGGGTTTTCATAATATTTTAAAACTATTTGTTTAGCGATGGTTTTGTTTGTTTGTTTTAAGTAAAGGTTAGTCTTGATGATACACATAATAATCTTTCTAAAATTGTATACTGACCATACTTGCTGTCAGAATAATGCTAGGCATATGCTCTTTGCTAAATATGTATGTACAGAGTATTTGGAAGTTAAGAATTGATTAGACTAGTGAATTTAGGAGTATTTGAGGTGGGTGGGGGGAAGAGGGAAATGACAACTGCAAATGTAGACTATACTGTAAAAATTCAGTTTGTTGCTTTAAAGAAACAAACTGATATCTGAATTTTGCTGTGTTTCCATTTTTTAGAGATTTTTATCATTTTTTTCTCTCTCTTTTGGCATTCTTTTATCTCATGCTCTTCAAAAGGCAGTTCTGCAGCTGGTTAATTCATGTAACTGTGAGAACAAATGAATAATTCCTGCTATTCTGAAATTGCTTACATGTTTCAATACCAGTTATATGGAGTGCTTGAATTTAATAAGCAGTTTTTACGGAGTTTACAGTACAGAAATAGGCTTTAATTTTCAGGTGAATTTTTTGCCAAACTTAGTACCTCTGTTAAATATTTGGAAGATTTAAAGAACATCCCAGTTTGAATTCATTTCAAACTTTTTAAATTTTTTTGTACTATGTTTGGTTTTATCTTTCTTCTGTTAATCTTTTGTATTCACTTATGCTCTCGTACATTGAGTACTTTTATTCCAAAACTAGTGGGTTTTCTCTACTGGAAATTTTCAATAAACCTGTCATTATTGCTTACTTTGATTAAAAATTTGTCATTTCCTTTGTTCACCTACTAGATTTTAGGATCAGTACAGTTTGCTACCCTTCTGAGAGTTTTTTTCTTAAATATCCTCCACCAAACATGAGTGAAATTACTATTTCAGAGACTGGACACAGCAGCATGAAGAGACTGGAGCCAATTTCAGTCACAAAACACAGGAGATGTACACCTTTAAAAATTAAGAAAAACTACAAAAATCTTACGTGTATGAACTTTTTAATTTTAGAAATTACAGCAACGGCACTTGTTGGTTAGTACCAGGCAGTCAACCAAAGCAACAATTTCTAAACTTCAGATGAAGATACAAGCGTGACTGTGGGAGGAGGTAATAAAGGGGGAGGGATGAGAACTCACAGTGCAGCAGATGACGACTACCTTTGCAGTCAGTCTACTTAAGGCTGGGATGATCCCAACACTACCCATTCCCCCACAAAAAAGTTTCCCAATGAGGGACACAGATTGAAGGACACTTAGATTATTTCCTGCCCCAATAGATGCCATTCTTTCTCCTTTACATTTTTGTGTATCTTTCCTGGAGTGTGTTTATGAGACCTGAAATTTAAGGACCCTCCCTTTTTAAACCTGGTTTCAAAGAAAAGAATGCCTTTTTCACCCCCAAAATACAACATTTATTCCCTAAACTATGACCAAGCAAAAATTTCTACAGCTGCTTTTTGTGTCCAAAAAACAATGATATAAGTAGAGAAATCCCCGGACAGAAGTCCTACATTGTAACACAAATTCACGCACATCTTTGCTGGGTCACTTAACTTCTGTGAATCTCTGTTTCTTCATTTGTCAAATAATATAGTTGTGACTTGTCACAAAATTGAGGTGCAGATGCCTTAAAAACGCATCTGCCATGCAAGTGTGGGAATCAGTTGAACTCTCCCATACGCTCTATTTTCCACTTACCTAAGTCATTTCAAGCACAGGCGATCTAGATAATAGTGATTGGTGAGATAAAATCAAAGTTGATATTTAAACTATTAGCCTTAACAATGAAGTAAAGAGATAAAGAGCTCAGGCTAGGATTCCTCATCCTTTTCCTAGTGAAAAGCCATTTTTGAGTTCCCATGGTTGCCTGGTGGGACAATTATGCAAGTTGTTAGTTGGGTGTAGCAATGCTGGTAGCCAGCTTGAAGTTCTATCAGATAAAACATCAGGATCATCCAGTAGATTGAAATCTCCTGGTTGGGACCTGTGGCGTTTGCAACATGGTGCATAAGTAGGTCCTTCATGGTTAAGTGCAACTCTATGTATTTTTGGTGAAATCTTAGGAAGACCATTGTCATCAGCCATAGGAGGCTATAAGTCTCTTGGAAAGGTTTAATTAAAGGAATGAAAAAAATCAACTATTAGAAGTGGGGGGCCCTAGAGCTCTTGCGTCATTCTTCATTTAATAGTATTTGACTTCCATCAAGTTTTTTAGTTTTTCTTCACCTGTTTCCTTATCTGTAAAATGGAGACAAGCCTACCTCCTGGAATTATCATGAAGATTAAGCTGATACATGCAAAGCAGTTAGAACCTCTCAATAAGTGTTAATACAGCCAGCTAAATCTGGCTGGGAAGACACCTGAAAGGAATTTTATTCAAGAGAGTTTGATGAAGACCTACTTACCTTTGAAGTATTTAATAAACACAGTGGAAGATTTATGTTTGAGGAACTCAGAGTCTAGAGAGGGAAACCTGGAGAAAACTAGCAATGCTTGAGTGCCTAGCCTGTTGTTTTCCAGGACTCTGCAAGGGGTTCCCAAACATTGTCTGTCATCCTCCCAAGGACATATGAGATACTACTCTGTCCCCAACTCCTTATGGCATTTTTCTTTCTTTCAAGATGGAGTTTCACTCTTGCTGCTCTGGCTGGGTTGAAATGGCGCGATCTCAGCTCACCGCAACCTCCACCTCCCAGATTCAAGTGATTCTCCTGCCTCAGCCTCCCAAGTGGCTGGGATTACAGGCATGTGCCACTATGCCCAGTTAATTTTGTATTTTTAGTAGAGATGGGATTTTCCCATGTTGGTCAGACTGGTCTTAAATTCCTGACCTCAGGTGATCAGGCCGCCTCAGCCTCCCAAAGTGCTGAGATTACAGGTGTGAGCCACTGCACCCGGCCACCATTTTTCTTACAAATGAGGAAATTTAACTCAGAAGCTAAGGAAGTTGCTCAAAGTCACCTAGCTAGTTGGTGTGGAAATCAGAGCTTCAATTCAGATCTGACTTTAAAATCTAGAGTTAATTCTATTAAATACTATATTCTTTCTCTTGTGAGTTTACAGTCATATGTACTTACTATAAAATAAAGTAGAATGAAGAGCACAGAGGGAAGAAGTAGTTAAGACTTGGTTGGCTGGAGATCAGTGGAGTTTTTACAGCGGAAGTGTCATTTAAGATTGAGCTTTAATCATGGGAAGCATTTTGATAATTGGAGGAACTCGTGGGCAGGAGAAGACTCCAAGATAGATACCTGTTGTTTGCCATGCCCCAGCATCTACCCCCCAGTTTTTAAAGATGTGCCTTCCAGCCTCAGGGTGACTGGGATTTATCATACTGCATGACATATCACCTCTGGCCAGTGTTGGATGGAACCTGCTCTTTGGGAATTCTGGAGCTGGAAATAAAGTCTCTGTGTGGCTGAAGATACAGTAAACCTTGTGAATTGTCCCCAGTCCTCTCACCTGCTATATGGGCTGGAGACGAGAAAGAAGAGAGAATTCTCAGGGCATGCAGCGTCCTGGGTCTAGGATTTACCAAGACCTGCCACATTTCTGTTCTTTGCTATCCTACCCCACCTCCCTTTTGCTTAATGTGGTTTCATTTGGATTTTTGTTCCTTAGAAGCAAATGAGGATTAAGTAATACTGTATGTAACTATTTGACTGTTTAAAAAAAAAAAAGATAGATCCTTTTTTAAATAGATCATTTTCTTTTAACCAAAATAATACTTGTTCACGAAAGATTTTTAAAGTGTGGGATAAAAAAGCGGAGTCACGCAGCAGAAGTGTGCTGGACCCATAAAGTAAGGGATGAACAAAAAGAAGAAACCTAAAATCACCTGTATTAACCCATGATAATTAAATTAGTTTATCCTTGAACTAGGTCATGATAACCTGGCATAGAGGTAGCACGCTATAGGAAATGCAAATCTAGAGGTTAGTTGGATCACCTGCTTAGTAAAGAGATGATGATTGACTCCATTTTTTAAGCAGTTATTGAGTACCAATCCTGTGTCAGCCACTGTGGTGGGTGATAAAAGTGAACAAATCTCAGCCCTGCCCTCAAGGGGCCTGAACTCTAATGGGAAAGACAGACAAATAAATAGACTGATGGCACAGTGCCATGATAGCAAGGAGCAGAGAACAGTACATAACCCAGACAGGAGTAAGGGGGAAATTCTCAGAGGAGACAGTGCCTCAGAGCTGAGTCTTGCTGTGCTAATAGGTATTACACAGCAAGGGATGAGAAGAGGGAAATGTGTACCAGGCAGAAAATAAGGCATGACTGTTGGGAACCACCAGTAATTCTGGGTAGCTGGAATGTAGGACAGTTCTATGCAATGGTAAGTAAGAGAATGGAGAGGTAGGAAGGGGCCAAGCGATTAACAATCTTGTGTATGTTCTGCTAAGAAATGGGATGTTCCCCAAAGATTTTAGCTCCTCGGGATCTCAACCCAAGGATCAAATAGAACAGGGGCCAGGAGAAAACCAACAGCCAACCATACACGTAAGGAGGAGAAAGGAGCTAACAAAGAGTGGGAAATAATCATAGTAGCCAAGGGAGGCATTTCAACAAGCAGGGCTTGATTTACAATATAGAGAAGGATGGAACTTAGAAGAAGTTTACACTTAGTAACTAGGAAGTCTTTGATAACCTTAAAGTTTTGTAGGAGTGGGGCATAAAGCCAAATTACAAGGGACTAAAAGGAAAGGGAGCATCACACACCGGGTCCTATTGTGGGGAGGGGGTAGGGGGGGAAGGGATAGCATTAGGAGATATACCTAATGTAAATGATGAGTTAATGGGTGCAGCACACCAACATGGTACATGTATATATATGTAACAAACCTACACGTTGTGCACATGTACCCTAGAACTTAAAGTATAATAATAAAAAAAAAAAAATGAAGGAAAGAGTTTTTTTTCTTTTGTGAAGATGAGGTCTCACTATGTTGCCCAGGCTGGTCTCAAATTCCTAGGCTCAAGTGATCCTCCCACCTCAGCCTCCCAAAGTGGTGAGATTACAGGCATGAGCCACTGTGCCCAGCTCAAAAGCATTTTGATTCTAGAAAAGTTTATTGGTAAGAAGGACGCAAAGAGAATAGAATGAGGTGACTGGAGAGATAAGTAGTTGTGGAGAGAGACTCTGTTAGAACAAGGAGCTATGGACATGCCTGTTCGATGATGTCTGCCTGCTTGGTGAGGTCATCCACTCAAAGGGGACTAAGACTGGTTGAAGAACAGAAAGGTCAGAGCAGCCACTATGAAGAGAGGAGTCCACTAGTAATAAACCAAAGCACTGTCAAGAAGTATCAGTGTGCATGGCAAAGGTTGGATGATAGGACCTTGAGGTGGATTCAGTCCACATAATCATACAAAGTCTCTGGAATTTGGGGACTAAATCAGAGAAAAAGAATGGTAAAGTGCTTAGAGTTGAGGATCGGCAAAGCGGTCCTGGGGAAATTCTGTCAGACTAATGACCATCATTGGAATGATGGCCTATGTGGAGCAGGCTAAGAATCAAACTAGGAACAAGAAGCCAAAGGGAGTTGCTGGGAAGCTGAGATGACAGCAAAGAGTGCATTCAGTGTGAGTGTCCACAGTCTTCAGTCATTACTTCCTCCCAGAGAAATTTGAGAAGACAAGCATCTTGAAATTCTCAGAAATAATGAATCCTGAACCAAGGCCATTTCACAAGGGTTGCTAATATAGATCAGAGTTGTGAAAGTCATTGGAGGAGAGGAAAATCAAGGAACCA